ATAATAGAATGGATTTGTTTGGAACATGCCACCATGATTTATAGCCAAATTGATCTTCATATTGGTTCTCTTCGGATCTGAAAATAAACTTTTTGAAAATCTCAATATGAAAATAATGGTAGCAAACACATTGCAATCACATGAAAATAATGCATCTCCTCTTTATATATCATGTAGGCTTTAACCGGCTTTGTAATTTTGATGGTGTACTATCAAACTTTTTGGAACTTGACTGCCTTCTATAGATTGCCCAAGTAGTTGCTTTATGCTCTACAACCTAAAAGGAATTATGCAACTTTTTAAAATTTATGCAACTTTATTACTTGGGTCAAGTTCATTTGTTCATTAAGTTTTTAAAATTTTATGAACAGTTTCATATAAAATAGATCTTGTACAGTTGTATATGCTCAGGTTGTAAGGAGCAACATAATATGACTTTAACATCAGTTTAACCATTGCAAAGGAGAGACAAGAGAAACATGTAGGGGCCGTTTACCCAAATGCTTACCCGGTAAGCGCTTACCGGTAGGAGTCAACACTATAATCTATTTTATCAGGTAAGATTATAGTATATTAAAACGGTATCGTATGCAACACACAACCCAAAAATTCTTCAAATTCACAGATTTCCAATAACCGAACAATAGAATGAACAAAATGGGTAATAACTAAATTCATAACCTTTCCACCTGTGTCATCTTTTTACCTAAACTAGTGTTTGACACCATGCGTTGCATGGTGACAATAATCCTTTTTAAAATTATTGAAGTTAGCTAAATGAGTTGATGATCACATTTATATATTAAACTAATAAGAATCAATATTACCTTTAATATATGAATCCACCTTATCATTATTGGTTGTTCTTTTAATATATATATATATATATACATATATGTGTGTGTGAGAGAGAGATTAATAAGTCTTATATATCAATATTTTATTATATCAAACTTTGTGATCAGTTTAAAATCATAAAAAAATATGTGAAAATATTAATTATAATCATATAAGGTGTATTATGATTGTTTAGTCATAATACATATCAATTTGTCTTTTACATATAAACTCATAAAATATTAATATTCACCAAGCAAACATTGTGTTGTTACTCACTTTCAAGATTCCATTGTCGGACCATTAAACGAACCATTATTGTCATGAAAACTCTAAAAGTGTTGTCAAGAACAAGCTCTCATTTTCATTAAGAAAACTTAAGAAAATTATAGAAGAGAAAAGTAAAAAAAAAAACAAAATTCTAAAATCCAACAAAAATAAAAATGAACGCATA